CACACACACACACACACACACACACACACACACACACGGTACCTTTTTTTTTTATAGCTTTTTAACATTCATTTCATTTTGTCACTTTTTTCTCTTCAACAGACAGAACAGAAAAAAAAATTCTTTTTTTTTCCCCTACTTCTTGCTTTCTTCTCTACAAACAACCAAATCTCAGAGGTGACTCTGAACCTTTCAACTTGACAATTGCCAGAACCCACTCCATCCTGCAAAGAACCACACCCTTCCTGCCACCTTCATTTCCCCAATGGAGTTTGAGTTAGACATTATTTTTTTTTTTTTATCCTTAAAGAGCTTCCCTGCCTATAAAGATATTATTTGCAGAATATTCATAATATTTTTTTCTCTTAAACAAGGAGGTAAAAAAAGCTAAAGCTTTTATTCATTTTCTTATTGGAAACAGTAAAAAAGAGATTTGATAAAACTCTCCTTCAGATCGGAATTGACTGGAACGATTTGCAATAATTTAGTCTTGTTTTTGACAAAGAATTCTATATAACATTTAAATTAAACCACAAAGATACTTTGAAGCAGGACTTGTAAACTTTTTTTTTATGAATGATTGTTTTGGTGGAATTTACTCTTAACATATTAATGTATATTATGTGTAATCGACCATTGCAGAATGGCTTCGTTGGATTTCTTCCAAAATTTTCAAAATCGCTTTTCTGAAAATACATTAATTTGTGTTCTATTTTCATCTTTTTTTTTTATATTTTTTTCATTTTAGAAAGCAATTTATTCTCTGCAAAAACTGCCTAGATTCAACTAGCTAAGCTTTAAAAACTATAAAATAGAAGTTTATGTTGAACTCCTGGAAGTTGATTTTATTTGGCACATGCGAATTCTTACATTAGCTGGTCTTTTATGAAGCTGTGTGTGTATATATATATATATATATATATATATATATATATATATATATATATATATATATATATATATATATATTCTTATTTCATTGATTTTTAAGTAACTTGGCATGAGCCTCTGAAATCGGTTAAATAAAAACAGAATCTCCGATTTTAAAAATCGAATTTGATTTGTTTTTTGTTGTCTTTTTTTTTTCTTAGAGAAAAATAACCCTTCCTTTTTTTTTTTTTTTTTTTTTTTTTTTTTTTTTTAAGGCAGTTGTAGTAAAGATAAATATTGTTTGAAAATCTGAGAGGAGTTCATGTTACGGTTTTGTTTTAGTTTTTTTTCCTACAATTTGCATTCCTACATCTCGGCCAATGCATTCTCTGGCCTGATAATGTTGGCTGAAATTCTAAAATGGGTTAAATTATCCCGATTGGTATTTTCATGTTTGTTATGTCAATCTTTTTATTTTTTTTTTGTTTGTTTCTGACAATTCCTTCTTCCTTTGACTTTGAGATGAAACATTGTCATTATTTTACATGTTTTTCTTATTAGTATTTTCACCCTTATTGTTTTTTATTGTGTGGTGTCCGCAACTAGAAACTTAAAGTGAAAAGCACTCAGAATGATTTTCAGAATTCTGACTGATGAGTTTTTATATAATGGATGTTCATTTTGCAAAATGAGACAGTTTCTAATATAAAATTCCATAAAAGTGTTACAGGTCCAATGTTTTGTCTAGGTGATGATGATTGTACTTTTCTTTCTTTTTTTTTTTTTTTTTTTCAGTTTCCTTCCAATAAAATCATAAAAATTGCAGTTTTTTTCAGTACAGGTATTAGCCCAACCTGAAATGCCCATTTTTATATTCAATAGATGATATTATTATTATTATTGATACTCATTGAATATTCAAACCAGTAGCATCTGATAATTTTGGCTGAAGTTACAATGCTTCAAGCTGATTTGAGTAATGCTGTTATGTGGATGGTTGTCATTTGTACTTGGATTATGAATTTTTATTCTTCTGATTTCCAAACTGCTGTGTTAAGATATTTTAACTCTGTTGTTTTTATCATTTTTTTTCAGCAACTCTTTTTCATATATTGACACAGTTTTCACCTCTGTGTTACAATTACACTGGTAAATGGAGTAAGGATAATGCAATATCACATGTTTGTATTTTGTTGGAAACATCACTGGAAGTAAGCTGTAGGAGGAACAGCCAAACGGCGTTTACAGCATCAGGGCATAAAGCTATCCGTTTGTCGCTCCACACACACACACACACACACACACACACATATATATATTGCATGGTGGAGTAATGGATAGCATCTTGGATTGAGGAATCGGAGAGCCGAGTTCAAATTCCAATCAAATCCATTACATTCACTAATGGGCTAATACCCTTGGAAAAGGTGTGAATCCTCTTCTTCTCCCTCCAGCTATGGATAAATAGCAGGACAGACTGGGTTCTATAGCCTTAGATGGCAACTGGTCTAGGAGAAGGGGACCTTGTGGCATGTAGTGCACCAGGCCTCTGTATATGGCCCTTCAGTGGTTCTGCCCAAAACCTTCACCACTATAATCAAATCTTATGTGTTGATGTCAGGCTGTCGGTTTCCTAAGAACGGATCTGCTTGACACTCATACATCAAATTCGACTGGAAAGTCGAGTACATATATATATATATATATATATATATATATATATATATATATATATTGCAGTTGTGTTTAAATATATAAGTTAAACAAAAGCATGCATAAAATATTTTTATTGAATTATTTCTTTTCATACTTTTTGAATGATATTTTTCCGTAGACCACACAATGTGTTGCAGTCTTTTTCCTTTTTAAATTACCAATTTAAGCACTCAATTAGCTGCTTGGTCTTACCATTTAGCAGTTGAAATTGCAACATATAACCATAAATTCTATGCTAACAATTTCTCTCTCTCACTTATCACTTGTGAAACTCTGCTCTGGCCACCTGCTTTCTATTATCTTTGATCTTCAAAGATTTATTTGCAATGTTAATCATCATCTTCTTATCCTTGAATCCTTTTATCTTCCCCCTCTCCTTAATTTTTTTTCACATTCTTTCACACTCAGTAAGCCATTGTATCTTAGAGGTTTATTGCCTTACTTTGGTGTGAAATGATTAAAATAAAAGATATGTTTTGTGAATATAAAAAGACTGAAAAAAAAAAACTGTTTCAACCTCCTTGCAAGGCTTCTTCCAGAACTGTCAATGCTCTTTTTCATCACATGGCCAAAGTTCAGCTGTTTTTCCAGTTTTTCTGTTTCTACCAATTTTTGTTTACAAGGATGACACTTGATCTTCAGACACAGATTGGGTGATCAGTTTGAATTTCAAATTCCATTCAGTTTCATGTCAAAGCATGTACAAATAATTTGCCACAAGTGCATATTGAACTCACTACTAAATGGTAATGTTCAACCCGACTAACTTGCTTACCATCGACCAATACACACGCAAAAAAAGATGTGTTTGCAATGGATTCTATTTCCAACACTGACATCTATTTTCACCCATTTATTTATGAGGACCTCTCCATAATTAATTCCATCTATTTTATTGTCTGTCCTGGGTATGACAATAAACTATGTCCAACAGCAAGGCCTCTGATCAGGAGGTTTTGAGGAGTGTGGAACCATCTCTTAATTACTGGTGTTCCCAGGTCCACCCTGACCCGGGGTGGTAACACCTGTTAGGATCCCAGCTATGTGCAAATATTTACCCCCACCACACACACACCAAACTACGGCCAAAACACTATGAAAGTGTAAAAATAGGTTTTAATACCAGAGATACTTCATAAAAAAAATTTATACCAGCAATACATTAAAAAAATATTACCCGCTATACATTTTTGAAAAACAAATATTACCAGTGAAGGAAAATTATTACCAGAAATAGATTTTTGGAAAAAAATATTACCATTGAAAATTTTGTCGGTATTAAATAACCCATTGAGGTTGATATGCCATTAAACAAAATGAACCCAACTATTTTAATGGTGATTCCTGACATCAAGGGTGGATATTAGCAATGCAATCATCTGACATAATGGTGTCTGAGAGTAAGAAGCTTAATAAACAATGTGTCATTGACATTGATCGATCCTTATTGAACTTATGTAGAAACCAGCAGTGGATATATACAGAGGTGGTGTGTAATGCCTTTCTGCAGTGATTGACAGCAAGATGTGTGAAAAGTCACATTCCACTCAATTCTGAACAGCTGTCAACCTACAAAATGAAGAGGGCAAATTGTTATGACTATGTGGAAAATATTGTTTTGTAACTGAAAACTTGTGTTTTTTGTATATGTGAAAATAAACAGCAAGCATTACTTTCGGAGCATCCTGCATATGTGATTTATGTTTCCATTATATTGGATTAGTTGATATTATTATTATTATTATTATTATTATTTATATATTGGCCTTGATATAATTTATTTTCCATATAATCGTTCAGAAATACTGTTAATAGGAAGTCAGTTTCCCACTCCACATAACCATGTCCATATTTTGCCAACAATTCTTTTGCTGTTGGTACAAGTGGTAATATCATTGTCATACCATTTTTGGTTTCTTGTTTTGAGTTTTCTGATTCCACATTCATCAGGTCTGATTTATTGCAACTTTTGGTTACCATAAACTTCCATTTAATTTTCCTTGTGTCGTCCTTGAGTTCTTTGACACAATTCCCAATGCAAATGAGTCCTCTTTACTTTTCAAATAATAATTAGTAATAAATGCCAATATTGAGCAAACAAAATGATTTGAATTGTTAAATTATCTCCCTTAAAACTATTTTTATGGGTATGAGTGTCTTTTATTTTATTTTTATTTTTTTTTTAAATGAAATCATTTTTGCTGAAATTATAATTTCTCAAGTACAATGTTTTATTAAAAAATAAAAAGGTGGAAAGTAACTTACTTTTTTTTCTATTTTTGAAAGTAGGTCACTACTGTTTGTCTGGCTGTAAATGTCTGTCCACTGACAATGAAGTCTCACCTTCTTTTCTATTTTTCTCATTTATTCATACTGGTTGTTACAACATATCGAGATAGCCTCAAAGGTCAAAAATGGTCATCTACTCACTTTTATGAAAAGTGAGAAACACCCTTTTCCGGGGGGCGGGCAGCAACTAAGAACAAGATTCTTTAATAGAGAAGAACAGCTTCAAAACAACAGTGTTAAGAAATGTTATATTTTTTCTATTTAGTTTATTGTGTCAATTTTCTCTTTGTCTCTCTCTCTTATATATATATATATATATATATGTGTGTGTTTTTCTTACACTCTCTTGTTTTTCTTTCACTTTCTCTTTACCGTTTCTTCCTCTCCCTTTCTCTTTACTGTTTCTTCTTTTCTCTCTCTCTCTCTTTCTCTTTCTTCTTTTCTCTCTCTCTCTCTTTAGTGTTTCTTCTTTTCTCTCTCTCTCTCTTTAGTGTTTCTTCTTTTCTCTCTCTCTCTCTCTTTAGTGTTTCTTCTTTTCTCTCTCTTTAGTGTCTCTTCTTTTTCTCTCTCTTTAGTGTTTCTTCTTTTCTCTCTCTTTAGTGTGTTTCTTCTTTTCTCTCTCTTTAGTGTCTCTTCTTTTTCTCTCTCTTTAGTGTCTCTTCTTTTCTCTCTCTTTAGTGTCTCTTCTTTTCTCTCTCTCTTTAGTGTCTCTTCTTTCTCTCTCTCTTTAGTGTCTCTTCTTTTCTCTCTTTTTTGTCTCTTTTTTCTCTCTCTTTAGTGTCTCTTCTTTTCTCTCTCTCTTTAGTGTCTCTTCTTTTCTCTCTCTCTTTAGTGTCTCTTCTTTTCTCTCTCTCTTTAGTGTCTCTTCTTTTCTCTCTCTCTTTAGTGTCTCTTCTTTTCTCTCTCTCTTTAGTGTCTCTTCTTTTTCTCTCTCTTTAGTGTTTCTTTTCTTTCTCTCTTTCTCTGTCTCTTCTTTTCTCTCTCTTTAGTGTCTCTTCTCTCTCTCTCTCTTTTGTCTCTTCTTTTCTCTCTCTCTTTAGTGTCTCTTCTTTTTCTTCTCTCTCTCTCTCTCTCTCTACTGTGTTTCTTCTTTTCTCTCTCTGTTTCTTCTTCTTCTCTCTCTCTCTACTGTTTATTCTTCTTCTCTCTCTCTCTCTCTCTACTGTTTCTTCTTCTCTCTCTCTCTCTCTCTACTGTTTCTTCTTCTCTCTCTCTCTCTCTCTACTGTTTCTTCTTCTCTCTCTCTCTCTCTACTGTTTCTTCTTCTCTCTCTCTCTCTCTTTACTGTTTTCATTCTCTCTTGCTTTCTCTCTTTCATTCTCCTGTTCATACTCTCTTTTCTGCTTTCTCTCTCAGTCTCTTTTCCCTCTTTTCCACATCTTTCTCTCTTTTTTTTTTTTCTCATATTTTCTTTCTTCTTTCTCTTGAGCTGTCCCACTTTTCACTTATCTCACTTTCACCCCCAACACAACATATTTTCAGGTTTCTATTTTCCACCATCCACTCTCTCACCATTTTTTCTCTATTCTTCTATTTACTCTTTTTGCCACTCTTTCTAATTCCTTAATCACACTCTCCTGTTCTTACTCTTCATTCATTTTTCTTTCTTTCTTTCTCTAATTCTCATTGTTACTTCTACTTACTTTCTCTTCATCTCAATACAAGTGGTGACATTACTTGCCACTGACCAAACAGGAAATCTGTATGCTTAGTTGATGCATTTGAAAAGGAACCTTAAGTTGCAACACATTTAATTTAGCAGAGGACAAAATAATGTAGTTCTTCTCTAGATTCTTGTAAAATCTTCAGAGGAATTTTTAATTTTTCAAAAATGAATCCGATTAGCATTTTTGTGTCTGTTTTTAATGCAATATTTTGGTCACAAATTTTTTTTTTAATAAATATATGAAAAGCCTTAACAACTAAAAATTGTTCTCCGGAACACTTATTCCCATATGATTTTATTTTTGGAATATTTATAACCTTTACTAACAAACTTTTTTTTTTTTTTTTTTTTTTTGAACTGATTCAGTCTTTCCTATCAAATCGGGAAATGAAAATTATCCTGAATGGACACACATCTAGATCCTTTCGTACTAACACAGGTGTACCCAAGGCCTCCATTGTTGGTCTTACACTGTTTTTAATTTTTGTTAATGACCTTCCTGATGACATCAGCTATCAACTTAGTATCTATGCTGTTGACACAATATACTCCTGCCTCAATAGTAAGTCTTATCAGTTCAACAAGGTCAAAATGGCAGCTGATGTCCAAAACAACCTTGAGTCCATCATTAACTCGGTTATTAACGGCTTGTTAATTTTAACACCTCCAAAACTAAACTGCTATCCATTAATCATCTGCCAAGAAAGTCGGTTCACTATGTCAGGCAAGACAATTTTTTTATCCAGCATCTATCTTGCATATCTATCTACCATCCATCCATGCATAGAATATTGCTGCCACATATGGTTCATTGCTCCTGACATTTACTTTAAGTGCTTTCATAGGATCGAAATAAGAATCAGCAATATTACTGGTCCTGATATGGTGGCTCAGCTCCAGTCACTTTCCCACCACTGTAAGCTTGCCTCACTTTGTCTTTTCTATGAATACTTTCACAG